TTTTCTATTATAACTAAAAATCCAAAACAGTTATTTTTAAGAAATTTAAAAACAAACCGAAAAATCATCAACAATTTTAAAAATTAAAATTCGAATAATACAAAAAGAAATACAAAAATGTGAAATTTTTAAATAAACTACAGTCAGTGTTAATGGAAGAAGCGAGAAACCACTTTCGCTCAAAATAAAATAAAAAAATTGGAAAAAATGAAATATTCTCTTTAGGAAAAATTGTAGTGTAGAAATCTTGAAATGATTGAAAACTTTGAAAGTTATTTAAAAAACGCTTTGTTGAGTCACTCTGTACTGAATCTTAATTAAGTTCTGTTAAAATCGAAGGAAATATAAAAAAAAAACTTTTGTTCGGAATTTTTAACTTTTTTTTTGATTACCAGATAATCATTTGTCCACTTAACTAAATGTGCGAATTTAAGAATAATGAACCAGTTTTTCAGTACTGAAAAAATGAACCTTGACCGGCTTCCTCTTATTTTACTAGATTATGCAGAAAAATAAAGTTGTTGAGGATCAAAAACATGCAATAAACATCATGAAATTATTGCTAATGTGACCACCACCGTCCGTGAGAAGACACAACAACAAAAAATTCGTTATAAATGATGCTAAGAAAATACATGCACAATTTTAAATTTTAAAATAAAATTTAAGAAAAAGAATGGACTTTAGAAATATTACGCGATTTATGTAATCTCACATCTGGGAGAGATTGATAATAATCACTTCTCTTCTAAGAAATAAGATTGATAACAATGCAAAAATGATAAAAAAATTGCAACTTCAATTCGATTTTTTTACTAAATTCAAAACAGTTTGAATTTTTTTGGTACAAACTATAGGTCTGGGGAGTAAAGAGGACAATATTATTTAAAAATTTTCTGTAGCAAATTTTCAAAAATTCTTCTTGCTAATTTTTTTATTTTTCGTTTATTTTTATTGCTGTTACTACAATCCTATTGTCTGCTTATCTAGCCTTGGTTTATCGAAGATATTTATAGTCGGTGAAAAATGTCTGGAATTTTGTTAATAGTTGTCAAAAAACATCATTATTTTGAGATGATGTAATTATTAGGTCATCTCATTCAGCAGAGGGCATTATCCTGTCAATAAATTACAAAAACACCAATTCATTCATCGAAAAATCGAAAAATGTGCGTGAAATTATAATAAAAATGCCTTGAAATGAACGACTGAGATTTTCTTTAAAAAAAATTCTTCATAGGTAAACAACCGACATTAAAATTCTTGAACGTGTGCCTTAGTTCGCCATTTAATGAAATGTCTTTCAATAAAACTCTCCGTTACAGCAATTATGAAACAAATCGTTTCCTCCCAACAGGGAATAAAGTGACGCTTTATTCCCCCGTTTTCGATAAATTATTTGAAAAAAAATGAAAATGCCCTCGGCGCCCTTCGCACGCCTCTCGCGTACATAAATAACAAAGCTTGGTTTTTAGCTCATGCAACATGCATTAAAGGGTTACCAACCAATCAAAAATTACCTACCCGATACCAAGTGGCCACCTGGGAGCAGCGCCACCGGAAAAAGAAAAGTTAAAAAAACAGAATAATTCTTCTAAGAACTAAAAGTGTCAAATCCTACACAGAGTTGTGTTTCAAGCAGTGCTTGTGTTTCATGTGTGTTGCTTTGTGATGGAAAAAAAGAAGAAAAAGAAATTTGTACCTTGGGTAATGCGGCTAAACATTGCTGTTTGACATCCCAAACGAGTTGGTCCCGAGGAAACTGGAGGCACTTCTGCACGTTGAGCTCCGGCACGTGGATCCTGACCAGGAGGTAGCCCTCGTCGGGGCCTCGCTCGCCCTCCTCCTCCATCGCCGCCCTAGCTGCTCACATCTACAACAAAAAAATCATCATATTTTATCACATTTTACTGTTTAATAGGGTATATTTCACGATTCTGAATTTTTATCCCCATATCTTCGACCGATTTTTACCATATGTTTCGGCAGCGTCCCCTTCCTACATACCAAATTTCAAGTTTCTCGCTCTTATTTAGGATAAGAAAAGTGAAAATATTTTGTTTTCTCGAGTTGTGAAGTTCTTTTTCTCAAGGGAGGTGCAAAATCAAATAAAAAAAATATCAGAATAACTGTCAAAGCAACAAATTGGCTTATTTCATGTTAAAAAACTACCGGTAGTAGAAAAAATAAAATGACATAATCTCATTTACCATAAAAAATATTAAATTAATATCTCAGTCGGTAATAATAAATAACAAAAATAGTATATAAAAATAGCATAAAAAATCTTTTCTCTACTTTGTGTTGTAATATACTATTTTTACGTAATTGAATCCAATATACCTCAAATGATCAAATCTACCAAAAATGATGCTATTCATGAATTTTTTTCTATTTGAGTGGGTTTTTGGGTTAGTTTTCACGCAATATTTTGCTAAAATAGACCGAAAAAATCACTAAATTCGACGAAATTGGTGTTGCATATTTTGAACTACTTTATTGCTTAATTTATTTCGTCCAAACGGTGCGACCGATTTTTACCAAATGTTTCGTGCTGCGTCCCCTTTCTACAAGTAACTTAGATACCAAATTTCAAGTTTCTAGCTCTTATCGTTCTCGAGATATGCTGTTTACAGACAGAGAGAGAAAGTAAAAAAGCTTTTAGTAAGTAAAAAAGCATTTAAGCACGTTTTTCAGCTAAAACTGTATTACAAGTCACAAAATTCACGTTGCTTTTGCACAATTTTTTAACAAAATACGAAAACATCACCACGTTGGAACAAGAATAATGTTAATTTTGCCCTTTTCATAAGTTTAAGCGCTTTTTTGAGCAAAAAAAAACCAATGAAAAAATTAAATCAAAATTGACGATATTTTGCTTGATTTAGTCCGTCTTTGAGACATAAACTTGTTTATTTTGCAAAATTTTTGTCTTTTTCAAGCGTTAAAGGACATTTATTGCAAAATTTCCATAAAAATTAACCAAAAATTGTTTTTGGGATAAAATTTGTTTGCTGGATTTTGTTAAAACGCAGTCTTACCAAAATTTAGCTTGAAATTAAGCCTCAAATGACCAAATTCTACCAAAAATGATGCTATTTATGAATTTTTTTCTATTTGAGTGGGTTTTTGGTTAGTTTTCACGCAATATTTTGCTAAAAAAATCAATAAATTCGACATATTTTGAACTACTTTATTGCTTAATTTATTTCGTCCCTTCGCGGCCGAACGGTGCGACCGATTTTTACCATATGTTTCGGCAGCGTCCCCTTCCTACATACCAAATTTCAAGTTTCTAGCCCTTATAGGATAAGGAAAGTGAAAATATTTAGTTTTCTCGAGTTGTGAAGTTGTTTTTCTCTCCTACTGGTCAGTAATCATTTTCATTATTGACCAAGGGAGGTGCAAAATCAAATAAAAAAGACATTAGAATAACCCCATCTCTAATCTGTTCTTGTCAAAACTGTCAAAACAACAAATTGGCTTATTTCACAGGTAGTAGAAAAAATAAAATGGCATAAAAATAGTATATAAAAAATCTCTGCCCTACCTTGTGATATAATATACTATTTTTTCGTAATTGAATCAAATACTGTAAACCGATGCAAAGGTGATCAACTGTTCATATGGTTTAGAAAGTCGGAATATGTTGATAAAAATTTTCGCACAATAAAACAGCTTGTTGAACTAGTTTTCACGTAAAATATGCAGAACTAATCGAATAACTGAAACCTTATTAGCGTAATAGGTGTTAGTAACAATTCCTAGTATTTTAATCTAGACAAATTTTGCTGCAAATGAGTTGCGTCAATGGTTTCATTGTCCAAACATTTTTCAACAATTAAATGATAAGAAAGCATTTCAAATATTTGTCTTTATTTAATTTTAAAATACATTTTGAGATTGTATTTTTTTCAGGAGATATTCTTTTAGAATTTTTAGAGAAAATGATTTTTTTTAAATGCTACACGCAAAAATCTATTTTTTTTTTATCGTTTTTTTATTATTTATGAACATGTAAATGGGCAAATTATCATCTGGTAATTTTTTAGGTGAAATAATCAAAAGATAGGTTAAGTGATTTCGTTTGAAATGTATATAAAACCGAATAAAAGTTATTTTTTTATAATATTAATTTTTTTTTTCAAAATATTTTCGAATGATTCTTCAGTTATTTGACTCAGCAAACAGTTTTTTAAAT